GACCTAGTTGATGGTGGTAGGAAAAGTCTACATACAAGCAGGTTAAACAATAATAACAACAAACAAAAAAGTGTCCCGAGTCCTGTGTTGATATTTCTTCTACAAATAAAGCCTGCCTGAGGGTGAGAGAATGGAGCTTGCCACTACCTAACCATAGAGGTCTGGAGGTCTGTAGAGACAGACAGGAAGTGAGGTAGCTGGGTGGAAACAGGATATAAGCAGAGAGAAACAGGAACTCACTTCTCTTGTCTGCTGAGACACAAAGGAGGTAAGGATTGACTGTGACTTGCTCCCTCTTCTCTCTGATCTCTCAGCATTTCCCTCTGTATCTGACACCAGGTTGTTATTATCTACACCAATTAAGAACTCCATGTACAGAGCCCAGATCTCAAAACCCCAAACTAAAAAATGCCTTGTGAATGATTCATAGTCTCCAGGCAGGCTATCAGCAATAGGCATTGTAAGATAGAAATGTTGATGTGACTTCATAATTCGTATTCCTAAAAAGAATGGTGGTCTCCCCCCTCCTAAAACACAAAGAAACAGCAAATGTTAAAGACAGTGAGACCACGTGTCTGAATGAAGCACTGCACAGCACAGACACTTGTTTGGCCTCGTCATCTGAGCACAAAGCTCCAACAAAGGGCTTTGAGGCTGACTGTAGTGAGCACAGGAAGAGCCACCTGAAGGTCAAAGATTTATAAAAACGATGCATCTTTATCCAATGTGCAAGATCCACAGCCTGACTGTAGCAGTGATTTCACCGCCAAGGAAAGCAGCGAACACCAAGATTCCCTAAACGTCACTCCACATCCTGCCTGACTTGTAATTTGCTCAGAATTTCTGACTCACCTCCTGGCTCCCTCCAGGCTTTCAGCTCCATCAATCAAAGAAGCGGCAGAAAGTAGTAATCATGGTGAGTGAAATGGACAAAACAGAGACTGGGGGGGGGGGGGGGATCCTTCAGTAAGTGCTTGCCTAGTAAACACGAAAGCCTGAGTTCTGTCACAACACGACATGGTGGTACATACCTCTAATTCCATAAAGCAATGAAAGCAGGAAGATCAGATGAGACAGACAGACAGACAGACAGACAGACAGACAGACAGATAGATAAAACAACCCTGACAAGTAGCCCTTGAAGGGCACAGATCAGCTCCAGAAGTGACTGAGTGACAACTGTCTCCCAACTCCATCAGATCACAAAAAGGCCAATATGCTTAGCAAGTAGCTAAGCAGACATGATCAGAAGGCATGCGGGAGTCTAGTATCCATAAATGGAATCCTTGCATTTAATCCCAATACACCTACACAAAACAGAACAAACGGGGATATTAAAGTGGGCACCAGGACTAACACTACATTCTTATGTCAGATTATATTCTCTGGACAAAATATGATGTAAGAAGATTAAACTGTATTCTAATTCTGATAAGATGTCACTGAATCAAGAATCCCATTCTGCAAGGATGTACTCTGGGGATGGCAGAGAGTCAGCTCAGAATTCCAAATGATACTTCCAGAATGAGAGGACAAAATGAGATTCAAGACAGTAAAACCTGGGCTGGACATTGCCATGTGCAAGGCCCTGGCCTCCAGCCCCAGCCCTACCATTAAACAGTCTAACAGGTTACTCACTATTCGATAGATTAACCTTGCCTTGTCTAAAATGAAAAGAGGGGGGCAGCATCACACAAGTGCCACAGCACAGCCATGAGTCTGCACTAAACCTATGTGATGTCCCCCAACCTTTGCCCAAGGCTAACAGTGTCAGTCCCCACCTACACAGCTGCAGGTGAAACCTACAAAGCTCACACACAACATGAAAGCTGACAGTCGGACAGTCACAAAGTATACCTGCTTCCCTCAAATGCAGGTTTCCAACGCTGACCACATGTCACAAATTCACTGGGGGTGTTTGCTGCTAAATATGTAAATGGGTAAAACATGTTTCTTCTCTCTCTCAGGAGAAAGAAAGTGCCCTGCCTGTGACCAGCATGGCTTCCCAGGAAGGCAGGGCATTCTAAGCAGATCATTCATCAGGGCCCTTCGCCACTCCATGGGACATTGGTGATAAAAGCAGAAAATATGCAGGAATCATGGAAAATAATGCATGATACCTATATGTGGAGCCTACCAATCACTGCATTCTAAAACAAATAATTTAAAAATTGCCTATAATAGCAGTCATTTGTTATCAACGTATGACAAAGTAATTTGCAATACAGCAACAGCAGGGTGGGAAGACAGCTCTCCTAAAATGTTGGTTTTATTTTTGGTGTTATTGTGAACAGGATAGATTTCTGCGATAATAAAGTATCCAGCAGTCTATAATAATAACTAAATTTAATTTTAAAACAGTCTCAATGGTTTTAACTTTCTACATTCAGTGCTGCTAGAGAAAGACAATTATGTTTTGCTGCTGCACAAATTTTCCAAATCTTGGCCAAATGGGAAATAATATTAATAAATCTCTTTCGCTTTAATAGAAAACAGTACATTTTTAGGATTTAGCGGCTAAGGGCTTGCATATTTTCCATCAACATTTGGCCACATCAGAACTGAGCCTCAGTTCCCAAGAATGGTTGGCCACAGCAGAGCCCTGTCTGTTCCCCACTCTGAACTTCCACAGTGCTTCCGGGTTTTCATATTATGACCCATGAGTCAGCTCACTAGCCAGTCCACAGCTGCTATAATCAGATTTCTGAGTGAGCCATTTCCTAATTTTGTAATTATAAAATAAAGATCATTTCATATGCTGGAAACTTATTTTTCTTTATGACATCTGGATAGTTCTAGAACTAAGTAAAATCAGACTTTCTTTTGTTTTTTCTTTCTTTTAATTTGGAGAAGAGGTAAATTCAGCAGGCACTTGGGAGGAAAGGGAGCCCACAAACATAAGGTGATCCATCAAAAAAAAAAAAAAGCAACTGTGGCTAACTGTGCATAAACAGGAGCCATAGCCTGTCTACCCAAGACACCTACCAGTTTACAATATCGTTAAAACACACATGTGCACATGCACACGCATGCAACATGGCTTTGTCACTTCTAAAACTCATGGCATTGAGAATTAAGGCATTCCACTGGGTAGTGGGATTTCTTTGGGGCTAGAGAGGGACTGCGCTAGTCAAATTGTATGCTCACCAAACATTTAGGTAAGTTCTTATTCTTCAGCGCATTCTGCCAATTAGGTGAAGTTTTCCTTAATGGAAAGAACCCTAAAACATAGGTTTTTCTCCAAAGGTCAGGGCAGTCACTCCCAGCACAGAACGGAAATGGCGGCTGGAGTTGCCTTGTAGTTCTGCTCTCCGCCTCTACTAATTGGGTTCAGACTTGTTCAAGACAAGGAATGAAAATGGCAGGCTCCCAATTAGTTTACATCCTCTTCTCTTCCCTCCACTTTCTAGCACTAACTTTTGCAATCAAGAGTTTTGTAAGGTTTGTGCTGAACTCACATATAGATTTTATCAGTAGCAATAAAGCATAAAGAAACAGGAACAAAGTCAGCTTATGATCTATTATCTGCCAATATTTAAAAAAAACATTCTACGCACAGTCAGAAAAATGATATGGTTGAAAAGATTTCAACCTTCTTAAAATACTTTCTGACATCCAAACTCGGAGTTTCTTTCTCTTTTTGTTCACGGATTTCTCAGAGTAAGAATGTCCAAAGCAGGAAAACTCACAGTGGCCCAACAAACCATGTCACTTTTAGGCCCCTCCTGCTTCCTCTGAGAAGGCTCAAAAGAAAGAGATCCCAAGATGAGCATTAAAAGGGATGCTAGTTCTCTGCCTCCTGAGGGTCGAAATCAGAATGAGAATGACTATTCTGAGCAAGGTGAGATCACTATAAAATCAGGCTCTGCGTCTGGAGATCGAGTCTGGCTTGACCCCTAGTACAGGCTCTAACAAAGTTCAAGTCAACGCACCAAAATCATTGCAGAGGGAAAGACTTCGCCATGTTCCATTATGTAGATCAGTCCCCCACAAAGAACAAGACATCTGCCTTCTGAGGTGTCTGCTAGCTCAGCATCAAGGCAGGCATTTGTCTGCCTGCAATTTATTAGCATTGGCAGAGCTGCTGTGGTCATGGTGGGGGGCTCTTTAATTAGAAATGAAACAAAGACAAAACTACTAGAGACATAAGATCTAGAACTTCCCAGACCTCCTCAGTTCAAATGGCAACTCTACAGGAAGACAGCCATCCATTCTACTCTAGTGACCCCAAGATTGGTTTTGTTTTGTTTTTAACCCTACATTATTATACATAGAGAATGTAATTCTCCTCATTGTATTTTCAATAACAAAATAAAGAAAAGAAACCCCTTCAGAAGAGGCATTGGGCATTGAACACAGGAGTCATGGAGAACATTTAAGCAAAACACAAATAAAGGAAGACATCTGGAAGGGAGGTCCAGGAGGAAAAAGGAATCTACCCCATCTCTCCTGCCAGAGCAACAGTGCTTGCTTCTGGCCAAAATCATAATCTGAATTGTTTATTTTCTTTTTGTAGTTCTCAGCCCATTAGAGGGAGTCAGGTGTAACTAATTATCCGGCTGATGAGGAAGCACCAATGTCTTCTTCCAGGTGTAGTCGTGTTGGTGCCAGATTTACTGAGTGGATCAACATCTGTCAAGCCTCTGTGGAGGATGATGCTTTAAGCCCAAGACTAAAGGGTACCACTTTCTTCATGTCCTGCCTATAAAGTATTTCAAATAGCCCCAAGATGGGCAAATAGAAGTTCAGTCTTTGAGGAGAAATGAGAAGGTGTGTGACTTCTCAATTCAATACCTTTTGATAAAAACAAACGTTTTAAAAACAAAAATCACAAAGAAACTTATGAGACCAAAGATATAACTCTGTGATTAAATCAACCCTCTTCAGAGACCTGGGATTCCGTTTTTCTTCACATACTGCAATAAAAAAATGTCACACAGCACATTTAGACAACTGCGGGCTGTCAGACAATGATTCCAAGCGAGGACACGGTACTTTACCTGCTCTTGCTTCTCCAGCCACCGGTCTACCATTGGGTGGCTGGCGCTGAGAGAGGAGCGGGCATTGTCTCTCTGGAACTGGTTGGACCAGCTACTGGGATCCCTCGGGAGGCTCCTGTAGTTTTCATCTTTCTATTCGAAATGAAACAAAAGGGCATCTTTGTAAAAACACAGACGTCACAAATTAATGGCACACTTGGGTTTTCTGAAGTCAAGGAAATTTATTCTATGTATTTGAAATATTTTTCCAAGTCTATACAAAATAGTAGATTGAAGATATTACATCTAAATTGGACCTCATAAATACCAGAAAATGCCAGGATAAGGACATTTAATTGGGGTAGCCTGAGAAAGCTGCAGAGAGTGCATACAGTAGGCCAAGAACTTGCATTATTCCATGCTGTCACTCAAATCAATATCTGGCAAAATGTACATACAAAAAGCAGCTTGTATTTCTAGAGACTCACACTCTCAGCCAAGGCTTTTTATTCTTTTCCAATATTATGATTATGAGATATTGTCAATAGGCCATCAAAATGGTAAAAACAGGAAAAATACATTCTATTCTTCTTTGTGTTCTTGAAGTTTTGTTATTAGGGGAAAAGAGTCTCTAAGATTTTCTGATACTTACATCACAAGATTGCGGTCAAGATTAACTTAAATATCAAGGAAATGCCAGCCTATCATAATGCTGGACACATGATAGACAAATATTGTTCATTCTGTCATGGTTATGACAAGCAATGTCTTTACATGAGTATTTATTCACTACATTTTCAATTCACCATAGAATCAACAAATGCAAGATAGTACTGAATATTCTTTCAAATACTAAACTGTAACAACTGCTTTTAACTTTTGAAGTGAGAAAAAATAAAAAAAATCTAAGATGAAATAGGGAAGTTTTTTAAGATCAATAACTAAATGCAAAGTATTTCCAACAAGAACACTGTAAAAATGCTACCCTCAGTTCAGCTCAGATTGGATGAGAAGTTAAAAGGACTATAATATTTTTCATAATAACTGTTAATACACTATGAAACACACTATTAACTATTATTATCATTCACTCTCTTCCTGCTGTGTGTGTGTGTGTGTGTGTGTGTGTGTGTGTGTGTGTGTGTAGGGTGTATTCATTCACGAATTTACAAGTCAGCATTACAAGTCACATATTTACAGGTGTGTAGAGGCCAGAGGTCAACTTCAGTTATCTTTTTCTACACCCCTGTCATCCCTGTCATATTTTTGAGACACTCTCTCTCCCTCTTCCCTTTTCTCTTTCATACTCTGATCTCTGGCTCACCTTTCAGCTAGACTGACTTGCCAGTGAGCCCCTGGGAGATACCCATCTTCCCTTCCCCTCAGTGTTGGGCTCAAAGTCACACATGCTACCAGGCCCAGCTTTTTTGGTGGCGTGGTTCTGGGGATGCAAACTCTGAACCTCATGCTCATGCAGCAGGTGCTCTGACCATCACCATCCCTCCCCAGGCATTATTTTAAATACATAAGCTACCAATACCACAAAAAGAAATGAAGCAATATGATAAGACTCTTGCATACTATAGACTTTAGCTGTGGGCCAGGACATAGTATACACCTTCCCTTATGGAGTTCTACCATAAAATATAGCAAGCATAAGATTTATCTAATAGTATGAATCACGAAGTTAAACAAACCAACACTTATCCACTTAAACTCTGATGTAAAAGTCTAGAAAATCGGTACTAGAATTTACTCAAAATAAAATAAAATCATCTTTTAAACCTTGGTAGTGAATGGGGCTAAAAGATGGCTCGATGGTGAAAGGCATCTGTTCCTTTTTCACAGGACCCGGGTTCAGTTCCTAGTACCCACATGACAGCTAACAACTACCTGTAATGCCAGTCCCAGAGAATCCAGTGCCTCTAAAGCCACAGATACTAGGCATGCACAATGTGCATACACATACATACAGGGAAACACACAGACAAATAAAGTAAAAATAAGTAACATGCTTTTCAAAAACAACCCTTGGTAGCTAAAATAAACATTGGTAGGAAATACTGATTAATGAACTCAGGGAAGTGGTGAGGAAAAGTCACTAAGAGAAGAGTGATTTGGTCTGATTATCATGTCAGTTCTATTCTCTCTCTCCCCACCATTTGATCACTGAGGTAATGATGAACAGCTCCTTCCTTGGAACACAAGCCATTGAACAGAGGGGCTGAGAAGACAATCCTGTGTCCTCAGTTGGAACTGTATTTCAGAGAAACCGACAGTGACAGCCCCTGGTGGGATGACCCTATGAAGGGTTTGACCCTTCAGACGATGGTCAAGCTGGGCAGCAGGACAGAACTAGAGCAAAACAAGGTATGTGAGATGAATGACGAGACAGTGAAGACTGGCCACAGAGCAGGGAGACCTCAGCATGTGGAAGTGCCTAAAAGTAAAACACCCCCTGCACTGACTCAGGCCTTCCTGGAAGGTTCTGGATCTGACTCTTCTCTCCCCTTCTTCTACAGTCTTCACAGCGGCCAACTCCTAATGACCCAGCATTCTCTGTCAAGATTCTACTTCCACTCTCAAACCTCATATGAAGCTGTGGCCCTGGTTGCCAGATAGACAGTTGTGCAGCCTCATCCTCTCCAGCATGCTCTGCCCCACTCCAGAGCAGGTCTCTCTACAGGATGTGTCGCATCACATGATACCTGTGCTGACCAGAAGAAACCTGACTGCATCTCACACCTCTCTTTCCTAAGCACAATTTCCAAGACATTTCTACTGAGGAAAGATTAGCAATTCTTCAAAGCCAGTCAAACCCCCCCCCCCAGGCAAAGTCCCCAGGCCCTACTATGCCATGGTTTCTGTCAACTCAAAGTTTGATTTTCAAAGTTGCTATTTCTATGATTGCACTGAAGCCTGGACAGGGCCACCATTCACCTTACCCAGGAACCTGGTGCTGTGACACGGGATGTGGACACCTTCCTTGAATGTGTTTTGTTTCCCTTTTCACATGGTTCCTAAGGGACAGTGTAAGAGGCTTTGAGACAGACCTCAAGCAAATGCAGTGACTATTGTTTCAGATTACACTGAAAGGTGTATTTGCTTATTTCAGTTTAATGTCACACCTGCAGGTTAAAATACTTATGTCAAATGTAATTACTTTTAGTTACATCCAAAAATTAATGGATTATTTCTCCATTTAATTCAGTTTTATGACATAATTCTTGCAACAGGGTAATGACAGATAATCACATTAAAGGAAATTATGGCTAAAATCAAAAGACCTGTCCTTTTTTTATTGCATTTGAAAAATTCTGCAATTTTGCATATAGACAGTGAACTCTGAGGAGTTAATGGATAAGAAAAGTAAATCAGACATTACCATCCCACAATAAGAGAGTATTCCTAATTCATGGTGAAGTTAACAATCTATGCATTAATTCATGTATAAAGACTTGCAAATTATAGCACTCTGACATCATTACCATTTGAGCAAAGAAGGTTGAAAATATATATTACTCCTCATGAAACTTATGCTTTATTGTGTTAATAATATCTAACAACTTAGACATGTTCTTCTACATAACATTACCAAACATTGGGGTTAAGTACACACAGGGAACATATGCCAGGAAATGTGTTCTGTGTGTATGAAGAAAGAATATGGATAGGCATCAAATATGAAATGTTTTTTAATGGACATCAAGACAACATGGCTGATCAAGCTGCATTTATGAAATGCTTTTGCTATATCACAATATGTGGCATGCCGTGACTCCTGTTGAAGTATGTATAATACACTCTATTTTAGTTTGGAACATGTCTAAAGATAATATTTTAAAATAAAGTTGTCTTAATGTTATCTGAGCTAGATTATATATGCTCATTTATAGATTCTAACTATAAAATGTAAAAACTTCTATTAAAGGATTTTCAATCTGATATTTCACAAATTAAAGACAGGAAAAACAAACTATCAAATCTTATCTCTCCTCATATTTTTGTGAAAGTCCACAAGAGGTTACTAATAAATCAGAAAACATCTGTTTAAATCTATTTCAATCCATGACCAAAGTAATGCAAAAATTCTGTACACCAGTAAATATTCAAACTTTACACTAGCAAACATTTTTTTTTTACAAATAAAAAATGCTGAGCATGGTTATACATGCCTGTAATTCCGGTACACGGAAGTCTGAAACTTAAGGATGACAAGTCTGAGGCTACCCTGAGCTACATAGCATGTTTTAAGTCAGTTTGGGCACATGGATGGTGCAGATATCATGATTTATTAAACCATAAAACAATAATGACCACTAAGTCTGCTAATGACAAGCAATGATTTATTAGAGTTAAATTAGGACTTCATCTAGAAGATTGTATCAGAAAAATAGTGTGAGGAACCACTGTCCCTTATTCGCATTTAATTATAAAATTTCTACATAAGAGGCTAACCCGTACAGTCAGTAGTCTTCAGGAGGACTGTCCCTCTTGTCAGAGAGAAGCAGGTGTAGGGGCTGTGATCAGGGACTCTTATGTCACCTGAATGCTTTGATGCCAAGAGCAGATGTAGAAAGTCCCTGGCCTGGGAAATGCATACTAACTCTCAGCTCTCTGGCAAGCTGCCTGTTTGACAGACATCTTCCAGGGAAATCAGGTAAAAGAATTCCACTACCCCTCTCCTGAAGCCAACCACAAGCCAACAAGAAGACATTCCACAGAACCACCCACTGCTTGACAGCAGCTGACTCCTAGCAGGCTACAGGGAGGCTTTCTCTCTCTGACAGCCCACCTTATCCACGATGCTATGAACAAGCAGATTGTTTCAAATTTACCATGGAGGTAATGGACCCCCAATTACAATTTCATGGATATTTTTAAAAACCACTAAGTCTCACAATATCATAAAATACGAAATATTCAACATATAAAAACTTCACATTTGCACCCTCTATGTATCACATGATCCCAAGGACGCCTAAGTGATGTTAAGACTCTAAACTCACAATGTTTGACATGGAAGTCATGGCTTTAAAAGAATTCAATTTTGCACTCTAACATCTTTTCCTTCTTTTTTATTATTATATTTATTCAAGGGGGGAGCACTTGCAAATATCTTTTGCAGTATACATCCATTCTGTTCCTCTATA